TTCGCGGAGGAGACCTTGATCTCCGTCCAGGAAAAGCTTGATCAGCTCAGCCGGTAGGTCGTCCGGCCCGACGGCCTTTCTGTTGGCCATTTCCCGTACCGCTTCCTCAACCTCAAGTAGAGATGGGATGTCGTCGAGTGGCACGCACGTGGGCCTCCTCTGGACGGTTGAACCCGGCTGCTGACCCGCTCGCTGCTGACCCCCCTGCTGCTGCTGACGAGGTCGNTCTGCAGTGGTACGTCCCCAGTCTGCCACACGTTCACGACAATGGCGTGGAATTCGCGGAGGAGACCTTGATCTTCGTCCAGGAAAAGCTTGATCAGCTCAGCCGGTAGGTCGTCCGGCCCGACGGCCTTTCTGTTGGCCATTTCCCTTACCGCTTGCTCAACCTCAAGTAGAGATGGGATGTCGTCGAGTGGCACGCACGTGGGCCTCCTCTGGACGGTTGAACCCGGCTGCTGACCCGCTCGCTGCTGACCCCCCTGCTGCTGCTGACGAGGTCGCCGGCGATTTTCCAGACCCCGCCGCCGCTGGCGCAGGTTTGCCCCCAGACTTCTCAGACGATGCCTGCTTGCAGCCTCGAGCGATATGGCCTGGCTTGTCGCATACCCAGCAATTCCCAGAAGAGCCGGACTGACCACCGCGCCCACTGCCGGAACGCTGGCCCCGCGCCTTGCCAGCCGCGCCACCACGAGCCGCCTTGTCAGACTTATCGCCAGCAGCACGAGCTCCGCCACGGGTTTTACGCTCCGCGTCACGGGTTTGACGCTCTGCATCTACCTTCTCTAGTTTCTTCCAGTCAGTGGCCTCCTTGACCATCACGGCTAATACGCCCCCAGGCTCCGTCTTCCAATTTCCTTGGAGCTCCAGAGAGCTCTCCACGTTTGCCTTGAATTCTGGAGGCGAAATTCCTTTCACCAGAGCCTTGCTGACTACGTGCGCCGACTCTTCGAGCCATTCGTCGTCGGCGTTGCGGTACAGCCGCGCCACATTCGGGTTCACCACCAGGAAATATTCCAACGCGCTATGAATAGCATATATTCGTTCCAGCACCGAGGCACCCGGCTTCATGGTAGCCGCGCGGGTCACACCCGCCTTCGCCTCGGCTGGCTCAACCAAAGCCTCTCCCGAAATTTCGGCGTTGAGCGACAGACCTTCCCGCAGCTTTGCCTCCGTCAGAATTTTCTTGCCCTCAAAGTATAGAGAAGACAAGCATTTGCGGATGTGCACTAGCAGCAACTCGGAAATCGACGTAGGCTTCCTTTGCACTACCCGACCTTCGTTGCCGCGCCCCACCAGGCGCTCATACTCCGCGTACCGAAGCAGAAACCGCCTAGATGCAGCAGCGGACAGCGTCTTCCCATATTCGGGTGGCTTCTGGGTAGAGCCGAGCACTACCTCGCTCACACTCACCCGAGTAGGACTCGCTTCGCCGTCCGCGGCACTGCCGCCGCGTCCACTTCTGCCTCGCCCTGCCATATCCTGACCACTCTTCGCGACCCGGATCTTTTTTCTTGTCGTTACCCTATTCTCGCCACAACCGCAGCAGACTCTCACACTAACTTCGATGCGAGATACGTACTCCAGTCCGCTGCTGTACACAACTTGAAACCTCCGAGCGATCTTCGAAGAGACCGCCAGATTAACTAGTTAATGTGGAACCCTCGTCCAATCGAGGGAGTTTGCTTGTGCTCTGAGGAGCCCTCGTGTTAGTTTCCTAACCTCCGAGATGCGAGACCGTTGGTTAATACACCACACAGTTCGTCATTATTCAGGACTGACCTCGACGAGGCATCCACACATGCATGTTCATCGTCAAAGTCACGCCGCATTCCTCTTCATGCACGTTACAATTGAACCGACACTTACGGCCTTCTAGAACCAATCATATACGACCTTGTATATTGCCGGTCTATACTACCGCGACCGGCTGTGGTGTGCTAGGGCTTCAGGAGGTCCGACGAGAGGGGCGAGGTTCAATTGCACACGACGGGTACGTGATCATCTGGAGTGGCGCCCGTGCTGGCACCAAGGACAAGAGGGGCGTCCACGGTGTGGGCAGAGCGATCAAGGAGGCCATGTGGAAGAGTGTGGGCGAGGAAGGTAGGACGGTGGAGTGCATTAGCCCGAGGCTGATGAAGGTGCGTCTACAAACTGGCCGCATCTGCGGAGTAACTTTCGTGGTGGGGTACGCCCCCACGGAAACTGTCCGCACCACCGCGGGCGGTGATGTTATCGCCAAGGACTCCTTCTGAACTGCTCTCGACGTAGTGATCCGGGAGGTTCACAGCCGTGACCATCTCGTGGTGCTAATGGACGCCAACGCACGCACTGGTAGGAGGCGAGACGGCTGCTGCGATGCCAAGCTTATGGGCGCGTACGGACGCGACATTATGGAGAACAACGGGGAACGACTCCTTGGACTGGCATCAGACAACCTACTCTCCCTGACCAACACCTACTTCCGGACACCGAAAGGTGGAGTGCAGCACACATTCCAGAGCTCCAACAAGGGAAAGGAGAAGTACCGCCTCGACTTCATCCTCATGCGTCAGGCGGACCGGCGTTTCGTGCGCAATGTCTCCGTCAAACGTGTCGACTTCAAAGACTCTGACCACAACCTCGTGCTTACGACTGTCCGCCTCCCCCCCCGTGTCGCACCCAACCGACGAGTGCGGGGGAGCAGCGGAAGCAGCCGGATCTGTATCGACCTCGAGGGGTTGAGGAAGGACAAACACCTACGGGTCGCCTTCCAAAGCAGGGCCTCCAGCCGCCCTCCGCCCACGGCGCTCAGGCGGCCAACGGGAGAGACCGCCGCCGAGCTGACGGCTACGGTGATGTCGGCCGCTGCTGAGACCGCGCCGCTGGCGAGGTGCGCACGATGGCAGAGAGGCTGGTACACGAGCGAAGCGCAGCACGAGATCTC